GTACATTAACCTTGTAAAAAAAATTAAATTTAGAACACTATATGTGGTATTGAAATTTCAGGGACTCAAAACATAATGTAGTTCAGTGTATGTTTTGTAGGTGGGAGGTGCTGATGGCAGTGTTATATCTCTAGGACTTAGGATACTCACATGTACATGGAAAATTCTAAGGATAGGTAGCACAGGAGCACAGTTTTTTCCTTACCTGATACCACAAGCTAATGACAATGTGAATGCTGTATTTAAGTGGTTGTGCGTTTTCCTTGAGTAACAAATGCATGAAAAATTCACTGCTTCACCTAGATCAGATCAGTGGTCTATGTGAAGTTACATGTTTTTCCTTCTTGGTTGTTGCAAACTATTGGATGTTCATGGAGAAGCTCTATTCTCTGTGTTATGGCTGTGTCCCTTTGCTTTTCCTTCTGCTTTTATTTCTTCCACAATTGAGGCTGGGTATATTCTTTTAAAGAAATAGCCATGAATATGCATAAATATACTTTTAAAAATGAGCTTTCCTAAACCATTGAGAGTTCTTTCTGCCTCTTGGGGAAGGAACTCTTGGGGGAGAGGCCCATCTATCTGCACGAGCATTTAGCTTGTTCAGATTTCTGCATTTTATAAATGCTTCCTACTAAGAAAGCATTTTTTAAGTCACTGCTTGTACCAGGTAATTTTTGCTGGGGATGGGAAAAGGTTGGGTTTTTTTTGGTGGGAGAGGGGTGGGTGGATATTTTTTTGTTGATGCTTTATGTGCAGGTGTGTTCTGAGGCAATAACAAGTTGCTGTGAAAGCAGTATGTGCTGCTGCCTTTGTAACTGCATGAAAACTTTTCACATGGATTTTTCTCTAAATTAATGCAGAAATGTGTAAACTGGGGGATGCAAATGTAATATTTTTTTTAACAGTTCATGAAATTAAGTTATTAAAATAACAAAATAACATAAGATTTAATTACTTTAATGCTATATAATTCTAGAATTAGCCTTGTTTTACAAAGTTTAAAATACATTTTAGAAATCAAAGTTGATATGCTTAGCTATCTTTTGATTAATAAGAGCTTTCTTAAAGTCCCACACATTTGGACCATGGCAGCTAATTTTGTAATTTAAGCATTCATATGAACTACCTATGGACATATATTAAACTAATTGACAAAAATCTCAGAGTGCCGCCTTTACTTTTCTGGGGTTGCCCTACAAGAGTATAAACCCATAGGAATGTTCTTTTTGTTCAACAGATGTCAGCACTGAAATGCTTTACCTTCAAAAGAGTTGGCCTTGATAATAATCCTTTAGTTTGTTACCAGTTATTTTTAGAATGTTTTATATTTTTAGAGCTCTATATATTATTAATGGGCTCCTCCCCAAAGTCCACCTCTTCAGTTAAGACACCATTATCTGGGGATCCCTGGGTGGCGCAGCAGTTTGGCGCCTGCCTTTGGCCTAGGGCACGATCCTGGAGACCCGGGATCGAATCCCACATCGGGCTCCCGGTGCATGGAGCCCACTTCTACCTCTGCCTGTGTCTCTGCCCCCCCCCCCCCCCGTGACTATCATTAAAAAAAAAAAAAAAAAGACACCATTATCTCTCCTATGAATGAGAGGAGAATATTGTTGACTGCCACACGTTTGAACACCACTAAGCCCTCCTTTTCTGCATTGCCTGGCCACTTGCAAAACAGGCACTGGACTGGAAGATAAAGACCTGACTGTAGTGCCAGCAAAATCAATACTAAGCCCTTCACTTTGGGCAAGTCATTAACCTCTTTGAGTCTCTGTTCTGTTTTTCTTCGTACAAAGTAAGGATAGTAACTGTTTTCTTCCCTATCCCACAAGTAGGTCAACACCAAAAGATAATATGTGTAAAGTTCTCACATAAAGCACTTTAAAAATGTGAGGTATCACCTAGGACTTTTCTCTAAGTGGTGCATTTTTGCTTTACTCCCTCCCTTTTACTTTCCTTCCTCCCAATGGAAACCAAGCAGACCCTTTCAGAGTTCTCTAACTTTATCTGTAAAATATGACAGGGTATTTTGTAATGGAGGTTGGGGAATAATACCTTTCTGTTTCCTTAGTAATAGATATTATTTTTATTTAATAATTATATTTAATAATTAATAATAATAATTAATAATTAATAATTATAATAATAATTAATAATTATTTAATAATTATTTAATTATTCCTTAATAATACCTTTCTGTTTTCCTTAGTAATTTCTTTTCCTATCATGGATTAAAAGTTGAAACTCTTTAAATGAGACTTAGACCAAAGAAAATCACTGATTGGTATTCTCATTCCACCCATCCAATAGGAATAGACACATGAAAGTTATATAGAGCAGTGTTATACAAAGAATCTATTGGTTTTGGTGGGATGGGTAAAATACTGTATTTTATCATCCCAGATTCTCTTTTCTATGTTCCTGTTCCTACTCATTTTAAATGATTTGAAAGGATGTAAAAGGGAGGAAGCAGTTATACCCAAAAGAGTGGCTTCTACTACAGACTGCTAAAACAATTAGTGGAAAGTATTAGTTTCTGGATGTTGGTGATTAGCGAAAGATTTATTTCCATTTGGAAGGAAGTGTAGTGTTTTAATCCGTTGACAACAAGTTGAATGCCATCTTGGCTCCATTAACTGAGAATAACCAATTTCAGAAGAAAACGGGCTTTTTCCCCCTGAAAAGCAGAAACTTGCATCTACTATGCCACTTTTAATGGATTTTGTTTTTATTTTCATCTTTTAAAATTAACTGTCAAATAAAATTAACTGCCTTTTAAAATTTCAACCCCCCCCCTTTTTTTTTATGATAGTCACAGAGAGAGAGAGAGAGAGAGAGAGGCAGAGACACAGGCAGAGGGAGAAACAAGCTCCATGCACCGGGAGCCTGATGTGGGATTTGATCCCCGGTCTCCAGGATCGCGCCCTGGGCCAAAGGCAGGCGCCAAACCGCTGCGCCACCCAGGGATCCCCACACCCATTTGGTTTTATCCAAATAGTGTGACTTTTATTTATTTAAGACACCTAGGCCTTTTTAAGTGATTAGTTCTTATTACATTTTGAGCTTAAATGCTTAAATTTCTTCTGCATCTTTTTCTTCTATGTAACTATCAGAACGTTTGTGGCAAAGCTAGAAGCCAGCTTTCTGCTTCAGAAAAGAGCCCTGGGTTTGTAACAGGGACGCTGGTGCCGTCCTAGTGCTTGAACAAGTCTGTTTCCTCCTCCATGAGTAGGCATTCTCCACTCTTCCCCCTTCTGAAATGGCTGTTCAGAGGATATAAGACAGCATGTGTAATGTGCTTTTGAGATAAAAAATGTTCTATAAATTAAATAATCCTGTTGATTTCACTAAACCAAAAGTCATAAGCATTTCTCTCACTTGAGTATCTTAGGCAATTAGTGTTACCTTATCTTTCTGACAATTTATATGATATCTTGAAGAGGCCAGTGCACTTAAACTGGATGACTAGAGTTCAAAGCAAAACTTGCTCATCACAAGTCAAAAACAAAGCAAGGAGTCTTTGTAAACTCTGAAAGTTGACCTTTCATTTCACTGATTTTCTAAATTATCCGGATTTAGGAGGCCCTTTTGCAAGGAAAACTAAAGTGAATGGAAATTTGCTCCTTGGAACAATCACAACTGAAGCTTCGCCTAAAGTTTCTCTTATTAGCTTTTGTGGGCAGTCGTGAAGATGGTGAGCCCTTTTGGCCTCCTTGGCAGATTAACATCCAGTTAGAAAATGACATAGCTGCTGGGATAGGTGTGCTGGGAAGAGCCTTTATGTTCTAATTCCCCAGAGCAGTGGCTGCATCATCTGGCATCTTTTCAGGCACTGAAAAGATGTGGTCCAAAGACCACATGTGAAGAAGGTGTCCTTTTCTAAAGAACACCAAGAATTTTACTTCAATTTTTAGCAGCTTCCTTCGTCAGTTTACCATTTGCTGCAGAGAGAGGCCTCTTATTTGGAAAATGAAAGAACAGCGTGGATCTTGCTGTAGAAAGTTAAAGTACTAGATAAGATCAAAGTGATGTATGTAAAACTGAATGAGGTCCTGGAGTCACATTCACCTATTTTCGTTCAGTTTGGATGTAGCTGAATTCTCTCATCTTGGAAGTTGGGCCAGGATAAATCTGGGTCATGGGACAGAGCTGCAAAGAGCCTGTGACCCATAAACTTGCTGGGATCCATCCAACTTTGGACACAGGTGCCATCCCGAGTAGGTCCCTGGAAAGACGAAGCCCCACAGGAGTCTCACTCTGCTCAGGCTTGCTTCCCGCTCAAGGCAAACCTGACGGGGGTCTGCAGAACATGCCCCTCAGGCTTGTGCACAAGGAAGGATCCAGGGACAAAAAATCCAGAAGTGTCCGTTAGCTGAGCTGTTCTCCTCCTTTTACAAATAAGGAACCTGAGGCACAAGGAGCGGGTTTCCCCTTTGCAGTTTGCCAGTCTGGGGCTGGAGGGGCGTTTGGGAGGTCTTCAAAGAAAAGTGCGAGACGGTTTTTCCATTCAGGTACTACCACACAAAATGAAAAAAAAAAAAATTTTTTTTTTTCTTAAGTAGCCAAATCCTCAGCCAAGTGTTTGTTTGCCTTACTCTAGTTACCGCCCCGCCCGACTCTTCATTATTGAGGTCATCCTACTTCCTTCCTGCTGCAGGGGCGGGGAGGCTCCGCGGAGCCCCCTGTCGACCAGCTTCGCCTTCGGCTTCCACACACTAGGGGAAAGGGACCCCTCCCTCGGGGCGCGCCGCGCGGACCGAGCTAACCTAGAACCTAAGACGCGCTCGCCGCGCGGCGAGTGCCGAGAACCTGCCGCCGGAGCCCCGCGCCGCTGGCGAGACGCCGGACGCGCTGAGGCGCAGCCCCCCGCGCGCAGAGCCGGGGGTGCGGGGGCGGGACGGGGGCGGGGCTTCCTTACCCGCTCGGGGGTGGAGCCGGGGCGGGGCGGGGCGGAGCTCTCCAGCCCTCCCCGGGTCCCGCTACTGCGCATGGCACGTTGCGTACCTCCCCCCACCCCCAGCAACCGGCCTGGCGGCGCGGCCCTAAACTAAGGAGGCGGAGCTGAGACGGGGTCGGGACTGCTTGCTAACTCCAGGACCAGGTACCGGGCTGGCGGGGCCGCCTGGTGCGCTCCAGGGACCAGTCCCTTCTCGCCCTGACGCCGATTCCATCTCCTCCGGGGCGGGCCTTCGTCAGATCGGCCATCCCGGCCCCCCCTCGCCCTCCACGGGCCCCTTTGCACCCAGTCCTCCTCGATTCCCGCAACGAGGGGCTGCAGCCTGAGAGCAGAGTAGGCTTGGGCCTGCCTGGGAGACCCTGGAGCGGAGATGCCGGGCGAGAGGGGCGAGCGCCTGTTTTCCGTACCCATCTTCCCCCTGACTCCTAGGTGGGGAGCTTGGGGCCCAGGTGTCAGTTTGTCCTGTCCAAAGAGGCGGCCGATCCTGTGCTGACCTCCTGTCCCATCCCACCACCCCAATTCCCATCTCTCCCAGGCTGGGCCGGCAGCGAATCAAGCCCCCTTAGGAGAGAGATTTAGGGGACTCCCTGAATCAGCAAAAACAAAGAGCTTCCAGTTGTTGTCTTGTTTTCCAAGAATGTTTGGGTGCCCACAGTAGATTAGGGGTGGAGATGGGCGGTGGGGGTAGGGAAGTGAGCGCGAGGAAAGGAGAGTGGTTAAATAAAATTGTTCCAGTTTCCAGGAAATGGGGGACTAATTTTTCTGCCCAGCCTTCTTTTAAGATAACCTAGCATATTCTAACTTGACTTTCCCCAAAAAGGAAAAGCCGTTCGAATTGGTCCTTTTTCTTACTGTATAATACCTGTTGAAGTAGAACCATATTCCAGTATGTATTTGAGGCATTAGGACAGTTCTTTGACTGATTCATGCTGTTGAAAGACACCCAAGATTGTTTCTTATTCCTGAGAATTGAAGAAACTGGGTCTCATTTGGTTACCTGCCTTAGGCCAGGAGCATACTCAGCCATTCGTTACAGTGCTGAACTTAAGTCTATTCCCTCACCCTTCAAACAGGTTTCTTAGGGTATTGTGACTCAGATGTTAGTGTTTGTAGTTGTAACCGAACCTGGATGAAATTTAGAAAAACAGTGACAAAAATAGGGGAAAAGGGAAAAAATAATAAATCAAGGTGAATTAATTCTTTTCTGTACTATTTGGCATCTGGTCAGCAGCACTGTCAAATCAGGTGATGTCTTCTCAGTCAGTCATCATTGTATCTTTGTAGACACTTTCCCCTGGACTACTCTATAATCACTGTGGTTGCTGGAGCACAGGCTTTGGAGCAGATCTAACTGGTCCTCTGCCACTTGCCCGTGTAATTTTGGGCATTTAACCTCTCTGAGCTTTTAAGTTCCTGATCTGTAAAATCAGGAAGATAGTACTTATTGTGAGCTGATCTGTGTGAAGCGTTTAGCACAGATCCTTGCACCTCGTAAGTTCACCATAAATGCTTGCTGCTTTTATTATTTTTGCAATTAACAGTTTAACAGATACGGGAGTGCCCATCTCATATGTTGGGCACAATAGCCCCTGGTAATGCAATAGTGAACAAGATGCATTGGCAATTAGCATTGTGGTAAGTGTGAGGGTTGAATATGGAGGCTGACACCTAACAGGTAGGGGAAGGGGAGGGGGGGGGGCGGCAGTTAGGACTTCTGTAGCACAAGACACCTGAGATGAGTAGTAAGGAACGACAGGTTAAAGGTAACAAGGCCAAGAGAGCAAAGGTGGTCCAAGAGGGGAAGAAAAAATCTTTAATTTTTTCTTTGGACTCCATTTCCTACCTGCCCTCAGGTATGACGTCCTCAATATAGACCTATCCCAAGGCTTGCTTCCCAGCCTTCTGCTTTTCTCTCCGCATTTTTTTTCAGTGCATTTGTCACTTGTATAGCTTTGGCTGCTATCTCCCAGGCCCACATAGTCATCTCTAATGTGTCTCTTAAGCATCAGTCTTACTTTTCTAACCAACTGCTATATCTTCTCACTTGAGATACATAACTATTTTCTCAACCTCAACATGATTTAAAAACTCGAACTCATCTTTCCACTAGAACCGCTTCTACCTCTGAGTTTCCTGTTTTGTCGCTGACACACTGTTCTTTCCCAGTTACTTGGGGAAAAAAAAAATCGGAGTCATCAGAGTTGTCTACAGTAGAATAGGTTCCCGATAAGGTAGTAAGTCTGGCTGGGGAAGTTTTCAAGCAGAGGCTAAATAATCTTACATCCAGGAGTTTGTGAAAGCTGTTCCTCTGAAGGGTGGAGGATGGGCTAGATGACTTATGATGTCCTTACTAATTAAATATAATTTCTTTATTTTCCCTTCATTTCCTATCCATCTGTTTCTTAACGTTCCCTCTGCTACAACTCTTATCACACCAAATATGGCCCATATAATTGTGTTCTAACTGGAATTCCTTTCTCTGAGGATTTTTCACCTCCCCTTCTCCCATCCCTTTGCAGATTAATATTCCTTAGAATATTTCTAGAACAAGGCTTCTCAAACATTAGTACGATCGTCCACAGATCAGCGACATAATCATCATCTGGGAGTTTATTAGAAGTACCAGGCCCCGCTCCAGACCTTCTAAATCAAAACCTGCACTTTTAATAAGATCCTCAATTTATTTGAATGCACAATAAAGTTTGAGAGACACTATCTTAGACCACTGTTTTGTGTTTGTCACCATTCTGTTCAAAACCTACAGTGGCTTCCTAGTGCCTGAAGAAAATCGATGCATATAAGGCCTCTTCATTGTTCTCATTTATCTGGAGTTAGTTGTGCTTCTATAACTGGCCTCACATTAAGTGGAGAAAATATGCAAAGTGCTAACATACTTCTCGGTACTTTGGGTCAATCAACATTACTGAGTGCCTACTCTATGACAGGTAGGCACTATTCTAGAAACTGGGAGATACATGTGTGGACAAAACAAAGTAAGCACTAAAAATCAGTAGCTACTACTATTTCATGCTTGGAATTCCTCCTATTTGACATTGAAGCCCCACCCCTTCAATAAAACTATCCAGGTCTATCTCAGCTTATAGTAACCATCTTCCCTTTTCCTGAACACTGTAAGGGCTTGCCCATTTCTGCTTGTGCATTCCCCAGACCTTGCCGAATTAAAAATTTTTGAAGGTGGGAGTTTGAACATCCTGGGTTGAAACACATCCTGGGTTGAGAACTAATTTGAAATTTGAAACACATCCTGGGTTGAGAACTAATGTTCAGATAATTAATGAAGCTGTTGATGTGGTAGTCTAGGACCAGTTCTTAGGTTTGTTATATTAATTTATATGGTGTTTAGGGATTGACTTTATTTTCTATTTCCAGTATTTTCCAGAGCTGGACAGTTCTGCAGATAACAATCATCTTTTTATCTACGTTAATATTCTATTTTCTTTCTGTTATAGACTACAAATGGATATGGATCCTGTTTCCTCTTGTTTCTTTTGTACAATGCTTTGTGTTTAATGTTATTAATTTGCACTCTAATAATCTTTTTATTTTTCAAATTTAGTCAATATTTTTACTATTTCATGCCAGGATAAATGATTCTCAACATGGTGATGATCTTCTATGAGAAGATTAGGATAGGGGTGAGGATAAATGCAATTTGATAAAAATCTATAGGTGATTTCGAAAGGTCTCTCTCCCCTCAATTAAAAACCATTGCTTTGATTTCTATAAGCAGTTCAAAGGATTCCAAGAACTCTATGTACCTGATTAAGTGTGTATTCCCATTGCTATACTATATACTACCACAATCCCTCAAAACTCCAACCCACCTAAAAAAAAAGAAGAGAAATGTGGCAGGAATTTTTTCTAGATTCTTCAAAGGTATTTCTGATTATTTATTTTAGTCATTTTACTTTTAAAATAATTTTTGTTGAGAGATAATATACCTACAATAAAACACACCTACATTAAATGTATGGTTTGTTGAGTTTCAACAGATACATTTCTGTAACTACTATGCAATCAAGGTACAGAAATTTCCATCACCCAGAAAGTTCTTATGTGTCTCTTTGAATTTAGTCCCTCATCTCACCCTTGGTCCCAGGCAACCAATGACCTGCTTTGTGTCATATTTTTACTTTTTCTGGAATTTCATGTATATGGAAACAATATGTAGATTTATATCTGACTTTCACTTAACATGATATGATTGTATCAGTAGTTTGTTCCTTTTTATTGCCGAGTAGTATTCCACATTTTGTTTTTTTTTTTTTTTACTTATGAGTTGATGGACATTTGGATTGTTTCCAGGTTCACCATTGTGAACATTGCTGTTATGAATATTCATGTACCAGTCTATGTGAACATATGTTTTTATTTCTCTTGAATAGACTACCTAAAGCAGACTTAATTGGGTCATGGGAAACTAAACTGTTTTCCAAAGCGGTTGTTAGACTAGTTTGCATCTCCATCAGCAATGTTTGAGTTTCTGTTGGTAGGTATCCTTGTCAACACTTGGTATTGTCGGTCTTTATTTTTAGCCATTTTTAGCCATTTTGGTAGGTGTGTGTAGTGGTATCTCATTGTGGCTTTATATACATTTCCCTGATGACAAATGATACTGAGCATCATTTCATGTGCTTAGTGACCATTCCTATATCTTCTGTTCATATCTGTTGCCCATTTTTTAAATTGAGTTGTCTTACTGAGTTGTAGAAGTTCTTTAAATATTCTGTATATAGATTGTTTTGTAGACACATGTGCATGCTCGCATGACACACACACACACACACACAGAGTTTCCTCCCAACTTGTTTATTTTCTTAGTGGTGTCTTTTGAAGCCAGAAGTTTTTAATTCTCAAAAAGTTTAATTTACCATATTTTTCTTTTTTTTTTTACTTCATGTTCTTAATGTTCTTTTTTTAAAAAAATTTTATTTATCCCAACATCATGAAGATTTTCTCCTTTGTTTTATTTGGTAGTTTTAACTTTTTCTTTAGTTCTGTGATCCATTTCAAGTTAATTTTTATGTATCATATAAGGTAGAGGTGAAAGCTCACTTTTTCTTTTTTTTTCTTTTTTTTTTTAATTTTATTTATTTATGATAGTTACACAGAGATAGAGAGAGAGAGGCAGAGACATAGGCAGAGGGAGAAGCAGGCTCCATGCAGGGAGCCTGACGTGGGATTCGATCCTGGGTCTCCAGGATCGCGCCCTGGGCCAAAGGCAGGCGCTAAACCACTGCGCCACCCAGGGATCCCAAGCTCACTTTTTCTAATTAGATATTAAGTTGTATCTAAATTATTTTTCCCCCATGGAATTGCTCTGGTCCCTCTCTTGAAAATTAATTGACCATACATGCATGGATCTATTTCTGGATTCTCTATTCTGTTTCATTTATCCATTTGTCTATCCTTAGACCAAAGTACACTGTCTTGATTACTATAACATTAAAGTAAGTCTGGAAATCAGAAAATGTAAGTCTTCTTTGTTCTTTTTCAAAATCATTTTGGTTACTTTAAGTTTCTTGTATTTCCATATGAATTTTAAAATCAGCTTATGAATCTCTTTTAAGAAGTCTTCTGGGATTTTGATGGGATTGCACTGAATCTATAGATCAATTTGGAGGGAGTTGACCTCTTCACAATATTGAGTCTTCCAGTCTATGAACATAGCATGTCTTACTTATCTTATGTTTAATACCTCTTAGCACTGTTTTGTAATCTTAAACATACAGGTTCTTATTCATAATTTTTTAAAAATATTCCTAATTTATGTTTTTGTTGGAATTGTAGGTACTTTCATTTTTCTAAATTTCATTTTCTAATTGTTCATTGCTAGTACATAGAAACATAATTGGTTTTTTTTTAATAAATTTATTTTTTTAAATTTTTTTAAATTTATGATAGAGAGAGAGAGAGAGAGAGAGAGAGAGAGAGGCAGAGACGCAGACAGGGAGAAGCAGGCTCCATGCACCAGGAGCCCGACGTGGGATTCGATCCCGGGTCTCCAGGATCGCGCCCTGGGCCAAAGGCAGGCGCCAAACCGCTGCGCCACCCAGGGATCCCAATAAATTTATTTTTTATTGGTGTTCAATTTGCCAACATATAGAATAACACCCAGTGCTCATCCTGTCAAGTGCCCACCTCAGTGCCCGTCACCCAGTCACCCCCAGCCCCCGCCCACCATAATTGGATTTTGTAACTGACCTTTCTAAATTCATTTTTTTAGGTCTAATATTTTTTTGTAGAATACTTAGACTTTTCTACATACACAATAATGTTGTCTATGAATGAAAAGTTTTACACCTTCCTTTCCAATCTGTATGCTGTTTGTTTCTTTTTTTTCTTTTTTGCATTGGTCAAAACACTAGTACAGTGATGAACAGAATTGATAAGAGCAGACATTCTTGTTTTGCTTCTGTTCTTAGAGGAAAGTCACTAATTATTTTTACTATTAGGTATGATGTTAACTATACATTTTTCATACATATCTCTATTATTTTTAAAGATTTTATTTATTTAAGAGAGAGTGCAAGTGGGAGGAACAGCAGAGGGAGAGGGAGAACCAGACTCTGCACTCAGTGTGGAGCCCAATGCAGGGCTTGATTTGACCCTGAAATCATGACCCGAGCCGCAATCAAGAGTCTGACACCCAGCTGACTGAGCCACCCAGGTGTACTATTCATACATATCTTATACCAAGTTGAGTTGGTAAATTCTATTCCTGTTCTATTCCTATTTGACTATTCCTAGTTGGTTTTTTTTTTAATCATGAATTGGTATTGAATTTTTTTCAGTTGCTTTTTCTCCATCTGTTGAGATGATTATATATTTTTTTATTGTTTACTCAGTTACTCTGGTAAAATTACATTGATTCTTTTTTTTTTTTTTTTAAGTAAGCTCTGTGTCCAACATGGGGCTTAAACTCATGACCCTGAGATCAAGAGTTCATTTTTTTTCTCCCCACCCCACCATTTTTTTAATTCCTTAAAATTGGTTGTTTTTTTATTTGCAAACAACTTCAGACAAAGTTTGGTATACACTGATTCCCTTTTTTTTTTTTTTTCTGATTCACTTTTTAATGTTAAAACAGTCTTTAGTTCCTGAGATAAACCCTACTTGGTCATGATACATTATGCTTTTAGCCATTCTAGATAGAATTTTCAATAGGCAAACATAAAACAAGATCAGGATGATATTAAAAAAGATATATTTCAGAAATGGCAAAAGCTCTTGTAAGTGTGTAACCAAAATTTAAAAATTAGTAGAAGGGTTAGAAAATAAAATTGAAGAAATCTCTTGGAAAGTAAAATTGTAAAATGGGAGTAAAACAAGTATAAATTAATTCTAGATAATTCAAGAAGTATGTTTCTTTTTTTTTAATTAATTAATTTATTTATTCATGGGCAATAAAGAGAGAGGGAGAGAGACAGACAGAGTGAGAAGCAGGTTCCAGGCAGGGAGCCCCACGTAGGACTCAGTCCCGGGTCTCCAGGATCACACCCCAGGCTGCAGGTGGCGCTAAACCGCTGCGCCTCTGGAGCTGCCCTAGAAGTATGTTTCTTTTAGGAATTCTATACTATAACATGAAAAACAGAGAAAGCGGAGGAGACAAAATTATCAAATAAATAATGCAAGAGGGATCCCTGGGTGGCTCAGTGGTTTAGCGCCTGCCTTCCGCCCTGGGTGTGATCCTGGAGTCCCAGGATGGAGTCCCACATCGGGCTCCTTGCATGGGGCCTGCTTCTCCCTCTGCCTGTGTCTCTGCCTCTCTCTCTCTCTCTCTCTCTGTGTGTCTCTCATGAATACATAAATAAAATCTTAAAAAAAAGAAAGAAATAATACAAGAATATTTCCCAGAATTGGAAGGTCCAAATTTCCACACTAATAAGGCTAAGATAGGGGAGCCTGACTGGCTCAGTTGGTAGAGCATGCAACTCTTTATCTCGGGGTCATGAGTTTGATCCCCACATTGGGTGTAGAGGTTATTTAAAAAGTAAAAAAAAAAAAAAAAAAAAAAAAAAAAGTAAGATTTTATTTATTTATTTGACAGGGGAGCAATAGGCAGAGAAAGGAAGGAGCAGGTTCCCTGCTGAGCAGGGAGCTGGACACCAGGCTCACTTACCAGACCCTGGGGTCATGACCCGAGCTGAAGGCAAATGCCTAACCAACTGAGCCACCCAGAGGCCCCCCAAAATAAAATCTTAAAAAAAAAAATGGCTAAGTGCAACTGGCCTAGAATTAGTCTGGATTGCAGCAGGAGGATGGAGGGCCATAGAAAGGCAGTCTCTAGGGAAAAATTGGAATGGATGAGTTTGAATGTATGGTAAAATATATTGATTAGATAAATAGCAGAGATGTAGTTCTTGCAAAAAGTTAGTAATAGCTATATGGGAAACCAAACAAGGGGAAAAATGAGTTATTAACTCTAGGAAAACAAATGGTGTACAAGAAAACAGACATGGTTGTCTTTGCCTCAGCTCTGAACCATGTTTCCATAGTCATAAAAATGTAAATGTGGACTGTTGACTTAATTGAACATTATGCCAGAATTATGTTGGGAGAATGAAGGCAGAAAAGTAGGGTCCACGAAGGTGATGTAGGAGAGCTTAGTCTTTATCTACGGCAGTCGAAAGATAGTAGATAAATGTCTGAAATGGGTAAGTCATGGCCATACAAACATTAAGAATAATAATAAAAAGCAGGGTAAACAGCCAAAGAATTGAAGGTAATTGCTTCTGGGAAAGGATCAGAGGGGAGTTGGGTCAAGATAAATTTAAAAATTAAAGAAGAAAACCATCTAATAACAAACCTGTCTTTTCTAATAGAGATTGCAGTATTTCTGAATGTACTTGGCGAGAGTACATCCAGTTTTATTGCCACTGAAAGGTTCTCTAAACCAATCTTACAATCTAGAAATTTATAGGTCTAGTACAGTGCTTTGAATGATAGACTCATAGTAAGTTTTGTTAATCAAAAGATATTTTTATAAAGGGAGATATGACTAATTCAACCTGTTTCTATTTTTCTTTTAGGTTTAAATTTTTGAAATTTTTGACATTGAAGTAGGTCTACACATTAGGAACTCATGTCTTTTCTTGTAAGTAAACCAGAGCGAATTAGGGTGAGTGTTTCTATTCTTCTGGCTTTACTATTTTTATTTTCTATAAAGCAATGTATTTTGGCAGATATTGTAGGTGGGTTTTTTTTTTTTTTTTTATGTGATGCTCAGAATCCTATGGAAGTGAGGCATGTAGAAAGTAAAGAGATATTGCAGCCTCTACTCCTGAGAAAAAAGCTTGCAGGCAGAGGCTGACCAGAGACACTAAATATACCCATCAGCTTGTCTGATAGAGAAGAAATGGTGGCTTATTTTATGAATATTACTCATACAATATTAAATAAATTGATGGCCCTTTTCACTATTGATATGTAATGACTAATAAGCTGCCTATTTCCTATGTATTTTCAATGAGTTTGTGTGTTTTAAAAATCAGTATCAAATTGTAATTATTGGAACACTTCCTAAGTATTAATAAAAGGTTTTAATTGAAGACTCTTTGAATGTAAAAAATGTTATTACACTTGAAAACTTCACCAGCTAAAATGATCTCAAGAACAAATACTAGATTTAGGTTCTTTATAAGCTTCCATGACTTCATAAAACAGCATTGTATTTTATTTATTATCAGGTATTTAATTTCTAAATGCAGTAGTGATTATTTTAAAATTTTGTAACAAGGCAGAAGTGGTATAGGACACATGAACATACCACTCTCTTTAAATATTAAAGTACATTCTATTTTGTGATACAGTGCATATTTTTTATACCAACTTTTTTGAACATACCACTCTCTTTAAATATTAAAGTACATTCTATTTTGTGATACAGTGCATATTTTTTATACCAACTTTTTTATTTTGGTTGTTCTTTTTTTTAATTTAGAAAACAATTGATATAGAGAAGGATAGAATGATGTTATAGTTCTAGTTCTTAACCTGTATTACACAACTTAATTCTGAATGTTACTTAATATTTTTTCTTATGTTTGTGTATATAAGAATAATTTATACTGGAAAGAGCAAACTTCACTGTTAATTAAGAGGAAAAACAGAATCTCTCCTTAGCCTGAACCCTGCCTGGTAGAAAGAATGCCCCAAGCCAAACTTGAACACTAGTCCTTAAGTGAAATTCAATCTTGATTCCATTACTTTTACATACGAGCTTCTTTTCTGTTTCATCCTAGCCTGATTCATGTGAAACCAGACAACTGATCAGTATTAATGAAATCCAATACTCATTTGAAATAGGATAGTAAAGTGAACCATGACTGGTAAAGTTAGAGTGTCCTTGTAAACCTGGTAGAAAATGTAAGTGGTGATTGATGTCTTTAGAAATCCTAGTGGATGAAAGAATTGCAGCTTACTGTTTTCTTTTATAAATTAACAGTGGCTTGTGAAAAACTGTTTCATCCCTATTTTCCATATTATGAATTCCAGTAGCATTTTTCATATTGGCATTCACAACCCAAAGCATCTGTAATAGATAGCCATTGAATGAGTAAGACAGAACCAGAAGATAGTTTTATGTATAGGAAGGACAAAAAACTTTATTATTATAGTGCCAGTACTATATTTTTCTCATCTCTCTGTCAGATTTAAGGATTATTTATCAGATTAGACAAAAAAAGAATAGAGAAAGGAATTAACCTATTGTTTTCAGTTTATTTTAAATCAGGATTCTTTTTAAAACTTTTCCATAGAAATGCATCTTAACTCTACCATATGATTTTGTTTTTGTAGTTTGTTTGTTTAATGGCTGATAGCTAATTTTTTGTGGCTTGGAAGAAATACTAATTCTCTTTGGGGTTTTCCTCTTTAGCGGTGGGTCTCGGAGAAGTTCATTGTTGAGGGCTTAAGAGATTTGGAGCTATTTGGAGGTAAGTACTTGGCATTTAGCCATCACTTCAGGATAAATGTCAGTACTCTTGTTGACTAAACTAATTTCCAGAAATTAGCAATTTTAAGGGCAAGTGTAAACTATAGTTGTTCTATTTGTTTGGCTCCATTTTGAATCCATGGTTTCCAAAGATTTGAGGACTCATCTGGCAGTTGACCTTGGCCTGTTTTGATTGTTAGAAAGTCAGTATTTACGTAAAGGCATTTTTATTTCTAAGTATTCATCCAGTTGAAAGACATATTTTTAAAGGAAAAAACTAGGTGTTTAAAAGCTTCTACCCCTGAAGATTTTAAAAATAAAATTATAGTAAGGATAAAAGTAGTAGCAATGATAAAGAAGTTCTGGTTTTACTGATCAATCTAGTTGACTCATCTTTTCATGGTAGAAATTATGACACTTAAGAAAACTAAGGAAAAACTCTATCAGGAAGAAAAATATTAACTAACTTCCTGTTATAAAATCCACATGCTGATTTTGGAAGTCATAGCCTTGCAATTTTGAAGTTTAATAGGGCTGGACACTTGCCTTTGATTCTTTTAGAATTCAGCCTTTTTGAGAACTGCGATCTTAAAGGCAAAGAAAATTCTTTTCTATAAAAATAGTAGTAGAACCCCATTCTTTGTGTCTGAATACCAAGACGTGCTCTTCAGCAACTATAGTTAAAGAAACAGATTCTCAGATTGAGTGCATTGGTTGACTGATCCAAGCAAAATGCCCTCAGTTTAGACTTAAGATTGAGAGCGGAGACTTCTTAGTTACTAGGTGACACCTGTTCATTTATTTGCCCTAATACCACTCAGAAACTTTCCAGAGGAGGATTATTTGTTAACTTTGTAGCATTATATTTTAGACAAATGAGAGTTTAGAAAAATGATGAGTTATTTTTGTCTTAATTCCGAAGAATAAAAATTAGCTGCACAGTAAAGGAAAAGCTAGTGGAAAAAAATACTATGTTCTGGTCCTGTTTTCACTATGTTTATGTTTGTGTATATATGAATAATTTATACTGGAAAGAGCAAACTTCACTGTTAATTAAGAGGAAAGGTAGAATCTCTCCTTTTCTTCTCCTCATTAACGGGAATACCATGGTTTAAAAGTAAGCATTGGCATTTATAAAAATTGAGTTGGAAGTCCAGTTTACAATTAATTAGTTAAAAATATTCCAGTATGTGTGAATTGAATTAAGGATTTTGGTTTCAGCGTCTTGAGTGTAGGATCTTTGGCAGTCTTTTGACAATTTCCTAGTCTCTGACCTAAGGAGAGTGAAGGGGTTATTCTGTATTGTTTACAGTGTGATGAAGCCTATACTATCAAGTTTTATACAACTTGGAATTTGCCTCCTCCTCTGCAAGAATGCACTTGATTTCCTTTAATCCATTCACTTGGCTTCTTACCTTTAACAGATTATTTTAAGTAACTGCACCTGCCATTTGTATACCAGAAAACTGATGTCCAAAGCCAAAAAATAATAATAATAATCTTATTTTGACAAATTGAAGCTAATTTACTCTGTAGCTGGTTTCCTCTAACAATACTGTTGGATGCTCTGAATTCTAATTAAGATATTTGGAAATGTGTGATCATTCTAATACTTTCCAGTTAAAAATCGACTTTGATGATTTTCCTCACTTTCCTAGAATGATGACAATAAAAAGGACAGATACAGAATTTGTCTGATTTAAGGGCAGAAAGTTATCTCCGTTGTCCTTTGTTTTATTTGTTTTCACATAGAGTTGCAGAGTGCTAAAAAGCCCTTGCTTTATTTATATTCAGAATAGAATGTGTGTGACTGGAGAATCTAACCAAGTAATGGTCCTACATATACATGTTGCTGTATTAAAACCTTTTTGCCCTTTTCTTTTAAAGTCTGTTTTCTAGTCCCTGCACTCTCTGGGAAATAGCCAACCATCTCTATAACTTTATAATGAATGTTCTGTTCACAGTATAAGACTGAAACCAGCCTATTGAACGTAACACTGTGTGCTGATGGAAAGTAAATGTAAGACTAGAATTATAGTAGCTGAGTTATACTCGCCAAAAAATACCCATAGAATAGTAGCCTTGCCATGTTTTGAAGAGCCATAGACCCATGTTTAAAACCCCATCCATGTGTAGAGTTTTTACTGTAGGCCTCTCCTTCTGTGTGTACATGTGTGTGTTCATATGTAGCACTGTGGGCACTTTTTATTATAATGACTCTTAAGTGGTTTCTATAAATAAATGTAGTTCTAAGTGCTGTAACTGCTGTTCTGAATGTGGATGTGTCTTCTGCTACAAAACAAAATGCCAAAAATCAATTTTTCTACTCCAGAGCAGCCTCCGGGTGACGCTCGGAGAAAAGTAAGTGACTTTCTAGGCTCTAGCACTCTGGCTGTTGCATGTGGATGATTTCTTGTGGAAATCTGTGTTTTTTGTTGGCTTATCATTTGATGTTTCAGCTTATCTCATTGAATTTTATTTGTAGTATAATTCTTTTGCTTGTAGAAATTCAGGTTTCACCCTGGAAAGATTTCGATGTGTACTTTGGGAGCTAAAAAAGTCTCAAGGCACTTGTCTCTCTTGAGGATGAAGGTCTCCTCCCCTTCCCCACCCTACCAGTCACCCACCACCCCATCCAAAAAAAACCAAAGTTTCAACAGTCTAAGATGTGGTTATCTTTTTAGTGGCTAGTGGTGCTAAATTTTCCATCTTTGGTCTATTACTAATCGATTTCAGTCCACAGAGATAATACAGAGCTCTACCAAGATGATAGGCAATACCTGAAATCTCCTACCTTAAAAACAAAACCTCACACTAAAAAGCACAAAACAGAAGGTGTATTTTTTTTTATTGGCAAAAGTTGAAAGACTCTCACCCTGCTTCCTACTCTTGTAGTTTATTTTACCAGAGTAACACCAGATGTACACAGTGTACCATGCTGTTTTTGATACTGTGAATCAGTGTCTTATAAAGAGAGAGGATAAAGAGCCCTTTTCTAAATAGACTTCTTATTCTTTCCAGATGACAGACATCTGTACCTATTGCAGGCAGTCCCACAGTTGAAGGATGGTGACATTGACTAGGAATTACTCTTTGAGGCTTTGGCTTTGCTTATCTATCTAGTCTGCTAATAAGGAGCACCTCTCCATCAGATCTAAATATTTTCCAGTCAGCAGACCAAAAACCATTCCCTGTACCATCAGTTAACTATTTTCCCAGAACAGAATGCCCATTATATAAAATTTTTATATTTTCACAGCTGCCGGTATTATGCCAAGAATTATCCTGTGTGAAACCTGTGTGGGGGGGTGGATTTAGCATTGTCTTTGTGTGTTCTGTTATACTTGGTTTTAAACTCTTTAAACAAAGTTATTTCATGGTTATTTCTATCAGTACCTTATGTATTTTTCAAATGCTTCAAAAGGAATAAAATGCTTTTCATGGCAGGGGAAACTAAGAAGCTATGCTAGAATTAGTTTCTCTAGACAATTTGAGATGATACATCACACTAATACAACTATGCCATGCTGTGTTTAAAGAGAATGGACTGAACATTTCATCCTTTTCCATCTGAATTTTGGCCTTTTGTAACTCAGAAGCAGTATACTGATCTAACCCCCTCTTTTGTGGCACTATCAGACCAGACCTCTTCCTTTCAAAATATTGTCCTTGTTAAATTGTTTGTTTTCCTAAATAACGGTTGGTTTCTCTCTGAGTTCAGACCTATAGAACATCCACAAAGTAGTTAATTGGCAGTGTTAGGATCATTGCCAGTGAGATGGGGACGGCAACCACTAGACTAGTTCATCTCATGCAATTCCCCATTGCCAAGAACTCACATTCCCAATTACCTAAAGAATGTATTTCCTAAAACTAACACTTTTGAGTAGTTTTCCGTAGTCAACAAAGATAGTAGAAATATTTGCCAGGTTACTGCTTAATCATACCAGTAGTCTATTGCATCATTTCCTACCTATGGTCAACAAGTGTGTCTTTAGTTTGTAGCCTACTAGACAGTATGTCTTCTGTGTACTCATAGCAAGGAAGAGGGACATAGGTCATAAAAAAAGTTATCTCAGTAGTTTTTCCCAAGAGAGTTATTTAAAATGCACTTAATAAGCATTTAATCTCACAACTCCACCTGTCCTTCATAGTCTTTTTTCAAATTAGAGAAATATTCAGGAGTTTGCCTGGAAATCAGAGAATACCTTAAAATATTTAGTAGTTTTGGATTTGTTCTCATTGGGACTATATTGCTAAAAAATGCAATACTTTCTCAAAGGCAGGTACCAGATTATGATCTATAAAGAGCCCGTAGTAACAAGTGATCTACCATGAGGTACTATGAGGACTGGTGTTTCCAGTGTAGGTCATTAAGTTGAACTCTGTCTCTGGTGGAACTAGCTGGTATATGTACTCTGCTTTCCTCTTCAGCTCATGGAAATGACAAGGTCATGGGCAGGAAACCTTCTCAGTTCAAACTTTGCTTAAATGATCTTTGTAAGTGCCAGCATCATTGTAGGCATTGGGCAACACCTCGGCGACCAGACAGACAAGGTCCATGCCCTCAGGGAGCTTGCATTCTAGTAGAGGAGACAGGCAACAGACCAAGGAACTGCAATGATAACTTTCTGTGAGGAAAGTAAAGCAAGATGATAGAATCAAGTGACTAGAAGCTGCTTTACTTTGTTCAGTCTTCAGATGTTTAAGTTGAGACCTCAGTGATAAGGAAAAAGCAGCTATTAGAAAATGGGCAGGGGCAGGAGGCAGGAAAAGAGTAGGGCAGGAATGTTCCAAACAAAGGGACTGCTGGCATGAGCTTCCTAAGACTGAAGTATGCCTGTTCATAGGGGTCAAGTATAGCAAGTCATGGATGTGGTAAGGGATGAAGTCTTTAGAAGTAGGCAGGGGCCGAATCATGTGGCTACTCACAGGCCAGAGTAGGGACTTAGGATCCAGAAGTCAGCCCCTGGGTTTTGTGTTAACTGATGACACTGATTTTATTGAGGAGTAGATTGATACTTGAGAAAATAGGATCTGCAAGAGAACAAGAATACGTGTAGGCGATGAGAGGTATAAAGTTAAGGAGATGGGACTCAAGACTAACTTAGCCTGCAGCTTGTCAGCTCTAAACAAATGGTTAGTTGCAATTTCAGGGCTCCTGGTTTGTACTTTTTGCTCAAGTTTTGTCCCTTAGTATCTCTCACCTGTCTGAGGCACTTGGGATGTAGTACCCAGTATCTTAGGATTATTCTGAAGATCAGACTGTGTCAAGTTACACTGGCTATAAATGATCCTAGAATTTGTTTTCAGAGCATTTGAAAACACAGATAACTATAAGAACCAAAATCAAACCAAGCTTAACTATTGATCGAGCTCTTCTGTTTTCTCTGTTCCATCTCATTTTTGAACAGGAGAGTGACCAAACAATAGGCAGCAAAAGAGGGAGAAGAGTAGAATTCACAGGTAGTGCTAAACTCGTTACATATTTCATCTCATTTAATTGTCACAACAACCCTATAAACTGGAAATTATTCCACTAATGAGATAATGGAGATCCAAGAGTTGAGAGTGACTTGCCCAGGGTCACAGAGCAAGTGATAGACCTGAGTTCAAGTTCTGCCTCTCTCTGGCCCCTGAGCCTATAGTCTTTGCATTAAACTATATATTTTACTTAAGATAGCCTTTCCCACGTTACCTTTTCCAAAATTGAACAGGTGCAAGGTATAAAAGGTTCTCTGGATCAGTAGATTTGGAAAATGCTTGGGTTAAACAGTTAAGTTTCCTTACTACAAAACTTAAAGGAACTTAAAGCCTTTTATGCGAGCATGCCTTATAATTCTCCAATGAGAGAGAGGATGCTGCATTTTCTCATTTAATTTGATGTGTAAGCTGTTCCTGTGCATTAGCTGCCAAGATCAGTGTTCCAGGGGGCCTACTTTGGGGGAAATCCTGCATTAAAACAACCCAGTAGAAAAATGGACAAGAGGCAGAAAGAGGCAATTTCACCTGGGAGAAACCCACATGGCCAATAAATATGTGAAAAAAGATGTTCAACTTTATTAGTAATCAAGGAAATGTAAATCAAATCCACAATGACATTGGCAAAAATTAATCTGATTTAGTAATAGAGGAAAATGGGTCAATGAGAACATACATATAATGCTGGAGGGAGTATTGATTAGTATAACCACTTTGGAAAATTTTACATTATCTTGTAAAGTTGATTGTTCATTTACTTGGTAACCTAACAATTCAATTTCTGGTTATAAGCTTTCGAATAGCTCTATGTATACATCAGGAGACACATTCAGATGGGTTTCTAATAGCACAGTTCATGATAGCAGAACTGAAAACTACCCAAAAAGCCCATCAACACTAAAATGGATAAACAAGATGACTATTACACAACATGTGTGTATAGCATGGCTAAATACAACAATATAGATGAGTCTTAGAAATATGTAAAAGTTAAATTAGAAATGTGCTGACAGGGCTTTCTTTTGCTTGACTAGATTCCTCTTACTGTTCTAGTAAGTGGTGCAAAAGGAAGAACCACACTTGGTTTCTTTCCCCATTGGCAGCGTGCACTCTTCTGAAACCAGATGTGCTTAAAATGTCAGGGACACCCAGCAAGGTGGTACCACCATGTCAGAACATTCTCAATTCACTCTCTTCGGGCTTGCACTGAGTCTGGGGCCTTTCGTGTGTTCACAAAGACTTTTTCATAACTTGAGCTCAGGTTTAGGTATATAGCTTATGACATTTGAGCTGGCCTAAGGTTCTCCATTTCAATAGGACACACATCTGAAGAAAGAGAATCCAAAAGAAAGAAAAACATGGCCCCTAAATCATGCAAATAAATGTAGGTCTGGGAGAAAGAAACAGCCTTTTGAGCTAAAGGAAGAGCTATTGGTCTGCCATCAATTTTGCTGGGCCCCCTTTTGCTGGACCTCAGAAGCCAGAGTTATGATGCCCACATCCTAATTGGCTGGAGTCCAGCTTCATTTGCAGCAGGAATGAGGAAGCAGGTTACTTCCGCTGCCTGGGATCATGGCTGAGACCTGACAGCTCTGATCCTTGCCCTGCAGCCTTGTGTGTTGGCTGTTCTTTGTTTTTTTGTTATTTTTTGCTTCAGTTGGAAATGTCAGAGAATAATTGGTCTGGGCTTTTGGTTTGCTAAAGAGAGGACTTCTTATGGCCACATTTTCCCTGTAGCAAGATTCAACATGTGACCTTTGGAATCTTGTGGTCAGGACCTTCACATAGGACCCCAGTGGAGCAGGAAACTCAAGAGAACCCTCCCCACCTCTACATCTCCATCCCCCTTCTGTTTTCTAAATATGCCTTTCTCCAGACATCTTTCCCCAGTTAAGAATTTCATAGTTTTTAACAAGTGAGCCAGTTGTTGGAAAGGACAAGCAAATCAACAGTTGACTGGAACTGGCCCTGTCCCCCACCCCCATTCATCGACAGTGCTCATACTTACGGGCTCTGATGTTAGTGCTGGTGACTACACTGAACATCTGATGTTTTACATTTCTCATCAGATAGTGCTGGAAAAATTTCTTTGACCCAGAGTCAGAATTTGCATGTTTAGATGCCAGTCTCCTGAGGGGTCTGAGTTACCACCTGCCTACTCCCATCCCACACCCAGTTTTCTCTTATTAACCTATTTTTCTTTTTCTTTAGACCAATGAGGCGAGCTCAGAGTCGATAGCATCCCTCTCTAAACAGGAGATCATGAGTAGCTTCCTGCCAGAGGGAGGGCGCTATGAGCTACTCACCGTCATAGGTAAAGTCCAGGAACTGCCATTTTCAGGCTCCAGGGCACTGCCACGGTCTTCTCTGCATCCCCAGATGAGTGTGTGCCAAAGGCTGTCAGCTAGTTAGCAGGATTCAGGGTGACCAAGCAGCCATTTGTGGGTATCCTTTGCTTTGCTTTGCTTTGCTTCCAGGTATGGGAAAAGAGATTATGTTATCAGGAGAGAAGCTCTTTTTCAATTTTTTCTTTTTGGCTGTATGCTTCTGATGTCCTGGGCCATAGTCAGTTCAAATGGTTGGCTGAGAAGGAATGGAGAGGAGACAAATCAAGAAATGTCAGCCACGAGGGTAACAGTAGTGACAGCTTTTTTTTTTTTTTAAGAATTTATTTGAGAGCAACGAGAGAGAGAGAGAGAGAGAGAGAGAGAGAGAGAGAGAGCCTGAGTAGGGGCAGAGAGAGAGGGAGAAGCAGGCTCTCCACTGAGCAGGGAGACTAAATCGGGACTTGATCCCAGGAACCTGAGCCAAAGGCAGACGCTTAACTGACTGAACCACACAGGTGCCCAGTAGTGACAGTTTTAACTTGAATTTTCTTTTTAAATCAAATCTCTTTAAGGCAACCTTTGATGCTGTTGTCCTTGTTCATGGCATTCCCCTTTTCTTTTAGGCAAAGGATTTGAGGACCTGATGACAGTGAATCTAGCAAGGTACAAACCAACAGGGGAGTATGTGACAGTACGGAGGATTAACCTGGAAGCTTGTTCCAATGAGATGGTGACGTTCTTGCAGGTAATAAAGCATGAATGGGACGCTTGAAGGGTGGGCTCTTTGTTTCAGTAGTAATCACAAGGCATCTATTACATCTGTCTTCTGAAAGTAACTGGCAGAAAATGAAGGTGGACCTAACCAAGAGGTTGCAGAAGTTCTTAAGAATTGTGGGCATTTGGCACTAAGGATTCTATAATGCTTCTCAGGCCAATTTAGAGTCCCCTCCTCTTCTCCAAAGACTCTTTTGTGGCTCACTGATTCATTTATTTATTATTCAGAGAGGCTAAGTAACTTGCCCATAGTCACACACTCTCTATCACTTGTAGAGAGATTCAAGTGGCAGACAAGTGCAGTCTTGTTCCAGGTTGAGGGCAGCCTGCTCTCCCATGACAGCCATCTTCTAGCTCTTGTCCTGTTTGTCCGAGTTTCCTTTCTGCTGGAGAAGCACATTGCTGCCTTCTTGTTAAACACGGAGAGCCCACAGATCCAGTAGCTGACCGGGGACTAGACTCTCCTTCCATGTCACAGGCTTGCACTGTGAACTCCTAAGATTCAGGGCTCGGGTCAGTGTATTCTCAGCGGTGGCTTGCAGCCTCTCCTCCTACTTCATTCATAACGTGTCTCTGAATTCATGCTCATCTGATGGTGCTCTACTACCCACTCTTATGGTCAGAGTAGTTTTGTGGGTCTGAGGAGGGAACAAGAAGTCAGCTCCAGCTTAGTGATTTGGGAAGATAGATATCTGAGTTTATTCTAGAGCATGTTGGACTTGAGGGTTCTTGTTTTAATTCTTTGGAGTAGTGGATAAGTAGTAGCTATTGCCTTTTTGGCCTTAGCCCCTGTCCCAGAGGCGAGACCCCCAGAGTTTCTGTAGTTCTTTTGTGTAAATTCATTTTAAAATCCCTTAGGTCTGACACTTTCTGTAGCTGCTCTCTCAATCCCAGGTTGCTGGAGAAGTACCTTCGAATATCTAGTAGTTATTGTTTGCTCTCTGATGCTTTGTTTCTTTGTTCTATCGATTACAACATTTTCCTTTATAAGAGGAAAACATTTTTTGTTTTCTTACCTTAAAAAGGAGTTCTATGACTTAGTCCTTGAAGTCGAGCTAGGCTTACTACTTCCTGTCTTCAGTCAACAGTTGGTTCTCATTGTTTCCGAGGTGATGAGCTGGGACCTTCTGTGATGTTGTTAGCAGTTTCTCTGTTGGTGGAGAATCTTTCTCAAGGCTCTTTAAGATTGGCTGGTGGAGCCAAACTGGGGCAGAAGCTGGCAGAGCAGTGCTGGCTTCCCTGCGGAGACAGCGGAGCCTGACGTGTCTCCTACAGGTGACCACCCGCCTAGGCTGCTCCCAGGATGCTCAGCAGTGCTCCAGGGAGAACAAAGTCCCCATATTATTCCTGCTGCCACTTCCATATTGAGCGTCCTTCTTCAGCGCCCCTTGATTCTGACTTCCACTTACCATTGCTTTCAGGGGGAGCTTCATGTCTCTAAACTCTTCAGCCATCCCAATATCCTGCCATATCGAGCCACCTTTATTGCAGACAATGAGCTGTGGGTTGTCACATCATTCATGGCATATGGTGAGTGGGACGGGGTCCTGGCAGAGAGGTGTTCTGAGAGCACCATCATCAGCTGGCTCATGTGTGGTTTCCTTCTCTGTTACCCTTCCCCTCTGTCCCCACAATTGTGTTCTTCAGGTTCTGCAAAGGATCTCATCTGCACGCACTTCATGGATGGCATGAATGAACTGGCGATTGCTTACATCCTGCAGGGGGTGCTCAAGGCCCTGGACTATATCCACCACATGGGATACGTACACAGGTGCATTCTTCGACATAACTATAACTGTCCATCACCAGAGCAGGGGTCTGTGCCTGGAAGCCCTCAGATAAACGGTGGAAGGTTGATTGAAGCTGGCAAAGTCAGAGTTTAAACCAAGGCTTGGGCCCTGGTCCTTGCCTCTGACTTGGTAGAGCATTTTGTCTGTCAGTGCTGCCTTTATCTGTCCTGAGCGGCTTGGTCCTAAGTACCGTGTGAGAAGAACATCTGACATGGACCCCTGCACCCCACTCCCCCTCCCTTCCTTGGAGCACCCAAACTGGCGTATGTGCCCCCAAGTCAGCCCTATGCTGCGAGGCTGAGGGGAAGGCAGGGTGCTCAGAAAAGCAGCTCACGGTAGGGAAGATAAGGAAACTGGGCCCCTCCCTAACTCCACATACAAAGGGGCACTTCAGATTGAGTATGTCTAATAATCCATGTCTAATGTCAAAATGTCTAATATAAAACTACAGACTTAGAAGGAAATAGTTTTATGACCCGAGGCTTCTAGGTATTTTAGAAGCACAAAACATAAGACAAAAAAAAAAAATGATGGATTTGATTACATCAAGATTAAAGGTCTCTCTCTAATAAAGGACACCATGAACAAAATTAAGAAATGGGTAACAGCATGTAAGAGTAAGCTTTGTCTAAAACACACAGGAGATCTGTAACAAGGAAATCCTGTGAATGAGTAAGAAAGAAATAGGAAAGAATAGAAAAAAGAGCAAAGGGTTTGAAGTTTATAAAGAAGAAACCCAAGGGAGACAGACTAGGGAAGAGGCTTATCCAGGCCTTATCAAGTCCAGGAAGCAGACTTGGGACATTTGGGCAAGGATTACCTGAGTCCTAAGTGTCATATGAACAGACACTCAAAGCTAACAATAATTAGAAGAGCAAATAAAAACAGGAGGACGTCACTCTATACCTGAGACTGCTGTAATTTGGAGGCTGAATGAGGCCCAGTGTGGTAAGGAGGTGAGTTCTCTTATCAGCGTAGTGGAAGATGGCCTGACATGATCAGGGTCACTCGGGACTAGGACCATCGATGCTGCTCTGGGTGTACGCTCCCAAGAAACCCTCACACAGACCCCTTCAGGGGACATATGTGGATGTCATCATTCACGTTCATGGTGGTTAGAAGCAGTGTCAGTGCTCCTTCCTGGGACAATGGATGAGTAAAAGTGTTAGATCCCACCCCAGGGTACAGGTGGCAGTTGGGAGCAAAGGTTGATTGTAGACAGGTGGCAGCACAGCTGGATCTTCCAAACAGCACTGAGAGGTGAAGGAAGAATGAGATAGTAAATTGAAAATATATACATATAGAACCCTGCTACAGTTTACAAGAACACCTGCAAACAAAAAGTACAGATTCAAAGCAGTAGATGGTAGGGAAAGCATTGGTCTGTGAGCATAAAAGAGAACTTTAACAAAATATAAGTAAGTTTTAAAGTCAGGTGATTCGTAAATTGGGTCATGCTATTTTCTCTTTTATCATGCATGTGTTATATACAAATACATGTTTATGTATATAGCATGTACATATACACATGCAAAACACACACCCAAACACTGCCAGGGAGAGAGCTGCCTGGAGCTAGTATGTGAAGATCAAAGGTCTGTGGCGTAAGGGGCTCCTGCTGCCCCGTGACACCCTCTCTCCAACCCCATCCTCCCAGGAGTGTCAAAGCCAGCCACATTCTGATCTCCTCCGATGGGAAGGTCTACCTGTCTGGTTTACGCAGCAACCTCAGCATGATCAGCCATGGGCAACGGCAGCGTGTGGTCCACGACTTTCCCAAGTACAGTGTCAAGGTTCTGCCGTGGCTCAGCCCGGAGGTCCTCCAGCAGGTCTGTGGACTGAGTCCCAAGGAGCCCCCATCCCTCACCAACCTGAGTTTCCTGAGGGAACCTTCTGAAATTTCCTGGGATCGGGCGGTGCTTTGCTTCTGAGTGGAGTGCAGGGTTCCAGAGGGAAGGGTTCCTGCTCAGTGTGGGCATTACGTGCCCATTGCAGATGGTGTTTTTTTCCCCTCTGTGGGGCCCCAAACTGGACCTAATGCTATTTCAACTCCCTTCAGAGACCTTCCCATCTTCCAAGAAGAGTGAACATTCTGGAAATACTTGGTGCTCGCCACATCCCTCCACTAAGCAGGAGCATGGGGTCCCACATTTCTTCCTGCTTGCTATACAACATCAGACATTCATTCCTTTAAAATATCAGCTATTCTTCAGTAGTTCAGGCAAGGAGAATGGGCCATACTTGAGACAGGCATTCTTTTCCTCTCCTGGGATGTCACTCCATGCCCTTCTCTTCTAAGAACAACCAAGGCTACAAATGGAGTGATCTGTGGCTTTTTTTCTCCTGACTTAGAATCTTCAGGGTTACGATGCCAAGTCTGACATCTACAGTGTGGGAATCACAGCCTGTGAGCTGGCCAATGGCCATGTCCCCTTTAAGGATATGCCCGCCACCCAGGTGAGCCTGCAGCCTAGTTTCCTTCTTGCCCTCACACCTCCCTCCGCATGCCTTACCCCTCTGTGGGAGGGAACCCCGGGGGGACAGCCCCTGTTGTAGGGCCTGGGGCAGGAATACAAGGGAAAGCCCACATGGCATGTGTCTATTTTTTTTTTAAGATTTTATTTATTTATTCATGAGAGACAGCGAGAGAGAGAGAGAGAGAGAGAGAGAGAGGCAGAGACACAGGCAGAGGGAGAAGCAGGCTCCATGCAGGGAGTCCGACACAGGACTTGATCCCAGGACTCCAGAATCACGCCCTGGGCCAAAGACAGGCGCTAAACCGCTGAGCCACCCAGGGATCCCCTGCACGTGTCTATTTAGATGTATAAATCAAGCAAACACATTTTTATAAATTTATAAAATATATTGTGTCCTCCTACCTTGCTAAATACTTGGAAGGCCAGTTTCTAACTTGTAGTTCTCAAACTTCTCAGGTTCTGGGTTCTCACATTCTGGTCAATACCTTGGGGACCTCTCACCGACAAGTTCAATTTCTTTTCATGCCCCTTATAATAACTACTCTTTGGCCACTGCTTGGCACACACAGTCAGTGATACTGTGTACCTTTGGGTGACAGACTAGGGGAGAGGCTTATCCAAGCCTTATCAAGTCCAGGAAGCAGACTTGGGACATTTGGGCAAGGATTATCTGAGTCCTAAGTACCTGGAGCATGATCTAGAACTGGGAGGGTGTGGGGGTAGGCTCTGAGCAAGCCTCTTCCTTGAATCCACAGATGGCCCTATGGGAAGAGGGGCAGCTAGAGAATGGCCAGAGGGGGAGACTGCAGAGCAGGGGGCCCACGGAGACTTCTGGGAGGATGTGACATTTGACCCTTGAAGGCAAATAGGAATTAACTGTGTGAAGAATAGAAACTAGGAAGGAAACTTGTAGACAGAGGGAACACCATGTGCAAAGACTCAGAGTCAAGAAAGGATAGGATCTGGGGAATGGCAGTAGTTACCAATAGCTGAAGTGCAAGTGCTTCGAGGGGGCTTCTCAGTGATGTGGCTGGAAAAGGAAGCCAAGGGCTTTGTGTGCCATGCTAGGGCATTTGGTTCCCATCCCAAAGCATTTGGAAAACTGCTGGTGGCTTTTAAGCCCAAAAGTGATAGCTTCAGATACATAATTTTAGAAAGATCATTACAGCAGGTAGATTAGACTAGCAGACTAGTTAGGAGGGTATAGAAACCTAGGTAAGGAATATAGAAAAATCTAAGACAGTCACAGAAAGGTGCTCAGGAAAGGTAAAGGGCTATGCGAAGTGAACAAGAGATACGGGTCCAGAAATAGCACGGTCCAGTAGCACTTTCTGAGCTCATAGGAGTCCCTTATCTGTGCTGCCCAGTACGGTGGCCACTAGCCACCTGTGGCTATTGAGCACTTACAGTGTGGCCTGAATTGAGCAACTGAATTGTAAGCTAAATTTAAATTAAGTATAAACAGCTATATGTGACTGGTGGCTACCATATTAGGCAGCACAGCTCTAGAGAAACTTCCAGGTTTCTGGCTTGGAAGTTCACAAGGACAACCCTAAGGACAGCAGTCCTTAAAGCGGGGCTAGTTTTGCACATGTGGACCGAGGACTTCGGCACGGCCACCCCAGCTGAGCCTGCTCCTGAGTGCACTGCTCCCATGCAGCCCGCCACCGTGATAGCCCAGGGCGGGGCAGGGCGGGTGCCACATACGCACCCCTTCAGACCCTGGGTACAACAAATGGGCTGAGTGCCAAAGAAAATGACCTGATGGCCGCCTTCACTCTGGGTTGAAGGCCGTACAGTTCAAAGGATGTGATAATGTCTTAGAAACAGGAGAGGAGACTGGGACCCCCTTCCTTGCAGCCACGGTCGGGAGGTTGCATCTTTGTAGGCCTTCTCCCCTTCCCTTTGGCCTAGCTAGGGTATGGCTGCTCAGCCAGTGGCCAGCATTCCTTTGGGAAAATTAGACTTATCCCGCTTCTCTTTTTTCTACTCCCCCAAGCCACTTTTGTATATTGGGAAAAGTATATTTGTGAAGAAACTATTCTATAGACTTCCCAGGGGCCCCCCTCCAGCCTGGATCCTGGCTCTGTCCTCCCCAGATGCTGCTGGAGAAGCTGAATGGCACAGTGCCCTGCCTGCTGGACACTAGCACCATCCCCGCTGAGGAGCTGACCATGAGCACTTCACGCTCAGCAGCCAACTCTGGCCTGAGTGACAGCCTGGCCACAAGCACCCCCAGGACCTCCAATGGCGACTCGCCATCCCACCCCTATCACCGCACCTTTTCCCCTCACTTCCACCACTTTGTGGAGCAGTGCCTTCAACGCAACCCTGACGTAAGGTATTTCCTCTGGGCTAGGAGTGGGCTTTCAGGGGAGCATGGGAGGGTGGGTGGGGGGGTGGAGCTGGGGCATTGAAGGTAGAGTTTGGGAGGATGCATCTGTCCTATAAAGGGCTGGGTTCCCGGAGGAGTCCTGAGCCCCTGTGGCCAGAGACTTAGAAGCCAGCTTGGCTGTCGTTTCTTAGAGGGCTGAGGGAAGAAGTAGAGGATGCTTGAGGATGAGATGTAAGCAGCAGGATTTTGGAAGTCTGGGGCACAGGAGTGACCCTAGTCTCTCTTCCCCTTTCTCTACAGACCAAGTGCCAGCACCCTCCTGAACCATTCTTTCTTCAAGCAGGTACAATAGCACTTTTCCAGGGTTCCCTGGGTTTTTTTTCTTGCCTGTGCTTCTAACTACCTTGTACTCCCTTAGCTTCGGGGTCCCTAGATATATTCTCTCCTCCTCCCTTTGAATCAGAGAAATGGCCATGTTTCTGAAACGCTTTAAAGGTGCTGCTCTTTCCTCTCATAGAGATTTTTGGCTCTAACAGACCAGCTGTCATAGGGCCACTTGCCCCACGGTGTCCTGGGAGTCAGAGCAACAGGATCCACCCCCACCTGTCTCTCCTCCCTCAGATCAAGCGACGCGCCTCAGAGGCTTTGCCTGAGTTACTACGCCCTGTCACCCCCATCACCAATTTTGAGGGCAGCCAGCCTCAGGACCACAGCGGAATCTTTGGCCTGGTAACGAACCTGGAAGAGCTAGAGGTGGACGACTGGGAGTTCTGAGCCTCTGAAGAATGCGCACGTTCTCCATCCCAGGACACGTGAGCCCCGGCGGGGGCCCTTCTCGAGGGCTGGCCACATTCCCACTCTCCTGAGTGCAGACTGGGTAGAAAAGACATTTCTGCCAGGTTGGTTGGCCACTTACTCACTGGGAAAGAAATTCCTGGAGAGAAACCTTCATTACTGCTCCAGGACTTCTGAGACAAGGGAATCCTGGCAGCCAGTGATCAGAGGCCGGGAAGCTGACATTCCATCCTGGGAGCTCAGGCGACCTCTTCAGAAGGAAGAGATGCTGTTCTGGCCCTGGAGGGCTGAAGGCCAAGCCCAGGGTTTGACTCCTTGACCCAGAAGACTGTGTGACTTCCTCTTCTCACTCTTGTCCTACTAGCCTGTTCCATCCTCTTCCTCTGCTCTCAGATCCTGTAGGTCCATGGAGGGGCAAGCAATAAGCAACCTGCCCCCCACCCTAGCCCCCAGACTTCTCCCTAATAATTGAAGGGAAGAGCATTTTTTTCTTGTTAAGCACCAGGTTAAGCCTGGGGCAGTCCCTCCTCACCTGCTCATTGCTTGGGCGGAAACACCTTCCCATAGTTCATCTGTGTGGCTCATCTCTTTCCCACCAAGAGCCCGTCTTACTGCCTCCTGTCCGCACCTGGAGGCTTCCTCCAAGGCCACAAGGTCTTGCCTAGCCTGAGGACTTAAGTCCTTGTGCAGCTTTAGTTTCATCGCCAGAACAAATTAAAATTTTTGAAGAATCCATTGGAGAGTGGTATTGCTGTGTGCTGGCCACGCAGGCTGGGACAGGAGTCCCTCAGCCCCACATTCTGGCATCCCAGGGTGGCCCCACGAGCGCATGTGCAAGCACAGCCATAACTATCATCAGATAGCCCCACAACACACGTAATAGATTTGTCTCCTCACTATCCAAAGATGTGACACCGTCCGTTTTAGCCCACGGCCAGCAAACCACTTTGGGACCGAAAGGTCCAGGTGCTAAAGACTAGCCTTTCCGCAGGAGCCCTTCTGGGCCACTAGGAGTCCAGGCAGAAGAGGCTCGTGTTTGGCAGGAAAGGAGGTAGATGGTCTTGTTCTGTAACATGACTTGCAGTGTCTCCTTACCCCTGGAACTAATAACCCAAGGAGGTAACCCAAGAACCAAACCTGTTCCCTCTCATCCTGGCTGGCCGCCAGCAAGGCTGGGCTGGGGAGTGATTCTGACCTGGGTCTCCAGGGTGCCTCCCGGCCTGCATGGGCACCAGCCTGGCACCTTCCCTGCCTGCCAGTCTCTCTGGGGTGAGGTGCCCTCCTCTCGCTCAGGCCCTAAAAATGTCAGATTAAGGAAGTGCCCCTCCCTCTGAATGCCTCTGACCTGAAGCTGCTCTGAGCCATCAAATGCTCTCAGTTTCCCTTCCCTCAGAAATTATAACACCAGTTGAAAAACAAAAAATATCTCCTTTGGGCAGTTACAGGGCTTGAGGTGAAAGGAATGACACCCACTAGGGGGCTGAGTGGGGAGGCCAGGTCACATTTGTTTCCAGGCCTCCTCCTTACCCCTGCCCAGCTCATCTTTAAACCTCAAGTTCCCTTTTCTCAACACCATCATCAGCCTGTTTACTTTCCTTCTGAACTGCTTTCTTCACCTTGCGGTCGGGTCCGTTCATCCTCCGCGCCCAAGCTGCTGTTCCTGTGGTGGCTGCTGGCAGATCCCCCCCCCCCCCCTGCAGACCCGTCCTGGGCAGGGGAGGTGGCTCCACAGTGCCTGCAGCAGGCGCAGCTTGCTCCTGGTGCTCCTCCAGGGGGTGAGGGCCACGCTTTCCTGCATCACTGCAGCTGCCTTTTGAGAATCTGGTCACTGCTGTGCAAGCTGCCAGGAAAGATGCACACAAACACAGTTTTAGAAGTGTCTCTCTCTCTCTCTCTCTCTCTCACACACACACACACACACACCCCATCCAGGGAGTCTGGGCCTGCAGCTCCCCCCAAACATAAATCTTCCTCTAGGGCGGGGCAGGAGGCTGGGGAGAAAAAGCAAAGCAGGCCATGGGAGCCAGGAGGGAGCCAAGGGAACAGCTGGGGCCTGGGGAAGCGAGCTCGCTCCCTCCCTCCAGCCCCTGGGGCTCAGAGGCGCTGAGCTGTTCTGTTCCCTGACACGTGTGTGTGGGCTGTGCTCTGGAGCCACTAGTTCTATTCCTGCCACAGTGTGGGAACAAGCTATGTTTAGGGCTGTGTTTGGTGAAACTGCTTCCAGCCAGACCTCAGGCAGAGCCCGGCAGTCCCCGCAGCCAGGTAGCCGGCATCTCCCACAGAGGCCCCTCCAGGAAGCCACGGCCGCGTGCACGGCACAACTGAGGCCCTACCCCCCCCCCCCGTGGGCGACAGTCACCTGCCTCCTGTGCCCCCCGACCGTCCAGCGGTGTGCTGGAGCCCCGGCGGCCGCTGGGCCAGCGGGCAGGCAGTACGGAGCCGGCGCCAAGCGCCAAGCGCCAAGCGCCAAGCGCCAAGCCGCCGCCCTAGCTCCGGCACTTGGAGCGACGCGTTCGATCTTCAGGCCTCGCTCCCTCGCTCCCTCGCTCCCTCGCTCCCTCGCTCCCTCGCTCCCTCGCGGTACGGGAGGTTGGGGCGCGCGCGCCGAGATGGCTGGTCTGAAGGATGGAACTCTCCGAAGGGGGTGCCCTCGGTTTCTCTCAGGCGACGGAGCCGGTGGCGTGAGGCGCGGGTGACTCACGCCACACACGCGGCACCACGGGAACGCCGTAGGGGGCGGGCCTTGCAGCCTCCGGGGGCCCCTGTCTGTGGGGTCGCGGCAGAAGGGACTGGGGCAGCCAGGTGGCCACCACGGGGCGCCGCGCCTCGCAGCCTCGCGTGGCGGGACCGCGTGCCGGCCTCGGGGCGGCCTCTGGCGGCGGGAGGACTCCGCGGCCGGAGGGGGCGTGGGATCCCGGGCCCGGCCGCCCCCGCGGGGCTGTCACCCCGCAGGGCCCGCGGACAGCCGGGCGGGCACGAGGCCCCCCTGGGGAAACTGAGGCCGCGGGAGGGCGTCGCTGGGAGCGCCACTTGTCCCGGGCCCCGGGCCTGTCGACCTGACCTCGCCCTCGCCCTCGCCCTCGCCCTCGCCCTCGCCCTCGCCCTCGCCCTCCCCCCGAGGCGTGCGCTCCGCTGCGGCTCCCGACCCCGCCCGCCTCGGTCTGGAGCGGGCCGACGGGGCGGCCGGCGGGGGCGGCGCGGGTGCCCGAGCGCGGGGTCGGGGCGGCGGGGCAGACAAAGGAGGGGACGGCGAGCGAGGGGAAGACAAAGCGCAGAGGGGGTCGGCGGCGGCGCCGGGGCCCCGGAGGCGGCTCCGGGCGCGGCGGAGCCAATGGGCGGGCGCGGGGCGGGGGCCGGCGGGGGCGGCGCCGCGATAAGGCGGTGGCGGCGGCGGCCGCTCGGGGACCACTGGCAGCGGCGGGAGCTCGCGCCCGCGCCCTCCACGCACCCGAGGCGTCCCCCGGAGACCGACCCCCGCCCCGCGGCCCAGGCCGGGGCCCCGGTGAGACCCGCGGGCGGGCCGGGGAGGGGGCCTGCATCCGCCTCGCAAGCCCGGGCGCCGAGGAGGGGGTGCGGGCGCGAGGGCCGCCTCCCGCGGGGTCCCGACGCCCCGCGCCTCCGCCCGCCGCTCTTGCCCGGGGCCCCGCGCCCCGCGCCCCGAGGCCGGCGACCGCCCTCCCGGGCGCGCCTCCGAGCAGGGACGGGGCCGAATCCCCCTGGCCGGGCCCGCGGGGGTCCCGGGTCTGGGGCCCGGTCCTCGTCGGCCCTGGGCCGAGAAGCGGGGCGCGGGCGGCGGCTTGGCGGGGCGGGGCGGGCGGCGCAGCCCGGAGCGCTGTCCGGGGGCCGCGCCGGCCGGGAGCGGGGCGCCCGCGGCCTCGGCTGCGTCGGGCCGGGGTCAGGCCGGGCCAGCGGATTCTCACCGAGGCCCCGCCCGGTCCGCCCGCCCCTCGACCTGCCCTCGGCCAGGCGGGGTCCGGGCAGCGGGCGCTCCCGGCGGCTGCGCGGCGCCCCCTCGCTGGCCGCTGCCGGCTAACTCTGTGCTTCCCCCGCGACACACGGTTCCACTCAGGGACCCCCGGGCCCCGGGGAGCGGCGTGGGGGGCGGGCGGGCGGAGGGGGTGGGTGAGGGGCGGAAGTGGCAAGACCCAGAGCAACAGGAAATGACTTAGGGAAAGTCCCAACCGCAGCCCCCCAGCCCCCTGCCTGGAAGCGCTCCCACCCCCCGCTGCAGGCTGGGGAAGGGCGTGTGGGGCCCTGCCGACCGACTTCCCCTTGCAGAACCCAGCGGGTGCCGCGTCTCCACCTGGGGCCTCCATCGCCCTCACCGAGCCATGTTCCAGGCTGCAGAAGCCGCCCAGGCCACCCCCTCTCATGTAGGTGATCAGCGGGCCGGGAGGGCCCCTCTCCCGCCGGCATCTGGCCTGGGGTGAAGGGGCGAGGGGCGCGGGCTTGCCTGCCACCCTTTGCCCCGCCCCCCGGGGCCCTGGGACCCGGCGGGCGCCCCGCAGCAGTGGTCTGGGCATCCCTCAGCTGACCTGGCCGATTGGCCCTCTCCCTTAGGAAGCCAAAGGCAGCGGTGGCAGCAGCACTGTCCAGCGCTCCAAGGTAGGGCCCGGAGAGGAGCGTCGCGGGGAAGAAGGGGGGGGGCATGGGTCGGGCCCCCGCTTACTCTCTCCTGCGGTCAGTCCTTCAGCCTTCGGGCCCAGGTGAAGGAGAGCTGTGCGGCCTGCCAGAAGACCGTGTACCCCATGGAGCGGCTAGTGGCCGACAAGCTCATTTTCCACAACTCTTGCTTCTGTTGCAAGCACTGTCACGCCAAGCTGAGGTGCGCCCTTGCCCTGCCCCTGCCCTCACCTGCCAGCCCTGACCTGACCTGACCACAGTTGCTCTGCTTCTGCAGCCTGGGCAGCTACGCGGCACTGCACGGGGAATTTTACTGCAAACCCCACTTTCAGCAGCTGTTTAAGAGCAAAGGCAACTACGACGAGGGCTTTGGCCGGAAGCAGCACAAGGAGCTCTGGGCCCACAAGGAGGTGGATCCTGGCACCAAGACGGCCTGAGGCCCCTCTGCCGGCCACTGTCTCTGCAGAAGAGGGCCTGGAGCAGGGCAGTGGGGAGGGTGGGAAAGAGTGGACCTGCTCTTGGGGTGGGGGGGTGGATCCTGGGGTGCATCCCAGGGTGGGATGGGGACAAAGCCATCTTGCTCAGGCAGATGGTTGAGGGGGCAGGGCTCTGCTCCAGGATTCCTTCATCCTCCCTGGGTGGGGGTGGCTCGGGAATCAGGATTGGGGTTTTGCTCACCACCCTGCTTCCTACTTCTTTCAGCCTCCCCCCATGGCCCCTAGGGAGGCCCCCAAGCCCAGCTTCCCTATCTAGGTGCCTTTTCTCCAGTAAGGAGTCAGCATGCCCCCTCAGGGTCCCAAGCTCCCTCACTGCCACCTGGGGCTCTCTGCGGCCCTCACGTCTCCCCATCTACCTCTGCCCTTAGCCTGGTCCTGAGCCATGGAGACCGGAGGAAGGAGAGCCAGTGTGTCCTTGCTGGGCCTCCGGAATGCCCACCAAGGCCCTGGCGGGGGGAGGGGAAGGAAGTGGATTAGCCCTGCCCTCCCCCGAAAGGCGAAGCACGACTTGCCCAGTGGGGCTTGGGACCCATCTTGCACCACCGGAGTCACGAAGCGGAAGCTAAAGCACCACCGCCAGGCTGAGAGCCACAGAGACTGGCTGGGGGCTGGCGTCCGCCATGCTCACCTCCTCTTTCTCCCCTGTTGCTGCCGGTTCTGACTGTTGTGATCAACCCTATTTTAAATATGTTTTAACAGATTCTGACTCTGTATCATGTGGCCTGATTGGGGGTTGGGAGCTATGTGGCAGGAAGGATGCAGAGGTGACAGGGAGCATGGTCAGTCCAAAGCACTCCTGGCCTTGATTGGGGTGGGAGTGGGGCTGGTGATGGGTATCAAGGAAATGCCAACCAGCCTGAGAGAAAAAGGGGGGTGCCCCTTTTGCAATAGCCAGATCTCCTCCACACTGTCCTATCCAGAGTGGTTTCGTAACTGGAACTCTACTTTGCTGGTCAGCCTGTGTTGATTAAGAGAGGGTCAGGCTGGGGAGCCTGGCTGGCTCAGTTGGTAGAACATGCAACTCTTGAACTCAAGGTTGTGAGTTCAAACCCCATGTTGAGTGTAGACCCTACCTCAGGCTATCCATAGGTGATGGACCCTGGCCTCACTGCACTTCAGTATTTTGCAAGGCAAAACCCTTCTTCTGAGTCCCTGTCTGGAACCTCCCTCCCCTGCCCGCCTTTGCCTTGGAAATCAGCAAAGGATGGTAGAAACCAGCAGATTCAGCAAGTGCTGTTGAAGGTTCTCTAGTTTGCTGTGTCCTTCCCCATCTGTCATCTTCCCCTTGCTTTTTCAATCTCTGGGGAGTGGGGCAGCTGCGGGCACCATCCCAGGTAGTCGAAGGAGAAACAGCTTCTCTGTTCCTTGGAGGGACAAGTTTACCGTAGGGCAAATGCAGCCAACGTGGAGGACCTGAGACCCCACCCCCAGAGGATTATAGGTAGCAAGTCTGGGTTGTCCTGTTTGGACCCAACTGTCCTGATTTCTCCAAACTGCCCATGGGCTACATGAACTGGTGGAGCAAAAGGGCCAACTCCTTGGGGATTTGCTGCCACTGCACCCCATACAATTCTTGAGTCCTAAGTGACCCCATGCCCATAGGACAGGGTAGGAAGCTGGGACTCAGATTTGTGGCAGATGGGCCACTGTGTTGTGTTGAGGTAGATGCTGCCCTTTGAAGCAGCAGCTAACGCTCCGCGCAGATGGCACTGGGTCCTCAGCATGAGAGTGGAAAGCCCCATTCAAAGCAGGCCCAAATTCTGTGCTGGAGGCCTGATGGCCTGACAAGCATGGTCTCTCCCTGCTCCAAGCTGAACACCAACAGCAGGTAGACCAGGGGGAGAGAACAGAGAGGTGGCGGCTCCTGCAGGTGCCTGAGCCCTGCCCTGCAGAACACCGCTCAGGGGGAGTACTCCCCTGCACTTCCAGATGCCATGAAGTTTTGGACTCCAGCCACTGGTGACACTTGGGTCAGGGGGGCTGACAGTGCCACCCTGATAATCAGGAGGCACCCTCAGCAGAGCTCTTAGAAGTGGAGAGAAAAAGGGAGCCACCTCTGAGCTAGCAGTGGTATCAGCCACATCATCCCATCCTAGGACCCCTCTGGGAGTAATTTCAAGTTCTCTGCTGAGGGACCCAAGCTGCTTACCAGGCACCATACCTGGCTCCCCTCAGGCAAACACCTACTCTCCACTCCCCAACCAAAAGCATGCCACAGGACCCCTTGGGTATAAATGATCCCTTTTATTGTAAGTAATGTGCGACACTGGCCTGGCTTTGCACTGCAAGCCCTCGGTCGAGATATAGTCAAATAACTATGGCTGCAGGTTCTTCTGCACGATCCACAATTCAGACACAGACACAGAGCTGAGGTGGACAGGAGGGGCAGGAGGGTGGTGGAGTGTGGACTGTCCCCAGCCCTGGCCTCTCCATGTAGGTTTGGCCAAGGCCGACATAGCCCATGGAATGATGAGCAAACGGCAGCATGGCCCTTCCCACAGCAAGCCTGGTGCTGCTAGGGGGATGCCTTTAAGAATCTTTGGGCCCAGGCTGTCCTAGGCCCACAACTTGTCATCTGGGTTATTTAATATAAAGACAATAAATTAAAATTAAGCAACAGCTTGGTCCTGAGGATGCTGAGCCAGCATGTCCACAGTTTTTGGCACAAAAAAAAAAAAAAAAAAAAAAAATCAGGTCTTTTTTTTTTTTTTTTTGGAGTGCAGCGTTTCTTGGCCTGTATGCAAATTCACTTTTAAAACCCATTCCCTGTGAGGTAAGACCCCAGGAGGTGGGGCTCTGTGAGAGCCTGAAGCTGGGACACAGAGTCGTCTTGTTGGCACCGGCACCGTGCTCTGTTTCCTCTTGGGGAACAGGGGCTGGGGGTGGGGGTGTGGCCCCAAGAAGAGTGCTACAGCCATCAGGATGGGGTCGTGGAGAGGCCGAGCTGCCACATGGCAACTTTGGTCAAGTTGAGGGGCCAGTCCCCAACCTGGGCAAGGGCCGAGGTGGAGACAGGAGCACATGCTCACTGTCTTCAGAAGGCTGAGCTGGGGGTGCCTGACAGAGGCCCCTGGGAGAAAAGGATAGAAAGAGGGGCCCAGACCCAACTGGCACCGTGCAACACACATTCCTGCAAAACCAGCTGCTTTCATTTTCTCTTCTCTCTTGAGGCGTCCATCACCTGTAACAATCTAGAATTGATATATATAAAAACCATCAAATATGATCTGAGATATAAATTAACAAGTACAAGGCCTCACATTACATGATGTGAAAAGGCTAAAAACAGCGATAGAAACTACATTCATAAAAGTGCATCGTCAACATACAACGAAGGCTTTGGCTTGTTCTGGTGCCCGTGGGGAAGTGGGCATGGCTGGCAATGAGCTGCCTGGCGCTAATCCCCAGCTCCCCGGAGAGGCCCATCCCTGGGCACTGGCTTTGTTGTTGTTGTTGTTGTTCCTTTAATGACAACTCCCAAGGAAACTGGGTGTTCAGAGGGAGGAGCTCTAGCAATAGGCACATTTTGGAAGGGAGGGGCCGGAAGAAAGGACCAGCGCCCAGGCTGAGGTAAATAAGGCCAACTCTAAGCTGCTTGGAGACACTGGCTCCCCGACCCCTGCTACCATTCTTCCTCTAAGAAGGGAAGGAGGTGAAACCTCATGGGGATGGGCAAGGCTGGCCAAGGAGGAACAGAGATGGAGTTTGGGACACAGTTGGTGACATCATATGGGCTCTCCCTTCTACCAGGTGGAAAGGGCTCTGGCCTAGCAGGGTCATGACTCACAGACAGCCTGATATAACTTCCCTAGCTATCCAGAAGAGCCTGCCCAGGGTTTAGGGCAGCCAGCTGGGTCAGATGCTCTCACCACACTGCCCATCTTTCTTTCTGCTCCAGTGGGGAAACGGGTGCCAGCTCAGGAACTCAAAGGCCATTACCTTCAGCTCTTTCCAATCCAGCCCAAGGCCCAAGCCCACAACAGGGATACTCAGAGCCCAAGGGCACAGTCTCCAGTTTAGAAACTGGGTACAGCATAAGAGTGACTTCAACTTGTAAAACAGAGACAATTGCATTGACAAAACTGGGTCTCTCCCCCACTAAGTGGGGACAGTTCCACATCTCAGGCCCCTGCTTGGGGTATAGGGGGGGAGCAGGGCCATGGGGGCAGGCAGGATGGGCTCCTCCCCCCCTGAAT